TAATATTTTTTATAAATAATTAATTATGATATTTAAAAATATTAATTTATAAAATAATTTAAATTATTAAGTAAAAAATATTAATTGTTTTATAATTTATTAGTTAATAACTACAGTTATTATTTTAATAACCGAACCGAACCAAACTAGTATTTTGAAAAATAATATTCAAAACTTGGAGTGGTTTGAATCTTTAGTTGCGGGACCATAACCAAGCCTTCAACATAAAGACCCAAGGTTGCTTTGAAGTATTATAAAGTTAAAGAAGGTTGTGCAACTCATATCATTTCCAGTCCTTTAATTCTCTGCTAATCAATAACCCAATTTGCCTATCAACCTTGTCTGTGAATCTCTTCCTCCCAAAATGACCGATGCTATAGTTTCCTTTGTCCTAGACCAGCTAAAGACAACCATCGTTGACAAGGCCTCTGAAGAGGTGGGGCTGCTACTTGGTGTTGAGAAAGAAGTGAGCAAGCTTGAAAGAAATCTCCGTCTCATCAACACTGTGCTCCAAAATGCTGAGGAGAAGAAAAGAACGGACAATCTTGTCAAGGATTGGCTGGACAGGCTTAAAGAGGCTTCTTACGACATGGGAGATGCCTTGGATGAGTTGAGAACAGCAATAGAGGTCAAAGCACTTAAAGCACAAAATGCTGCTCGTCAGAAGAAGGTAATTAATCTTATATGTACCGGAGTAAGATATATTTTTGGTTAGAGGGAAAAAATTTTTAATTCTTTTAAGTTATGATCTGTTCACCTTAGTATAATTTATGCAAATTTTTGTATCAATTACTAATATTGTGTGTCAATGTATCACTTATATCATTTATAAATCTTAAATTAATTAAATATATTTAATTATTTGCACCTGGCCTTTTGGGTCAAATGGCACTCTGCCAGCTTGAAGTGCACTCCCTCTCTCCTATCGGCGGGTTTCGAGTCCGTCTTTGACAACTTGTTCAAAAAATATATATATTTAATTATTTTCATATAAAATATAACTAATATCCTAAAATAAATAATATAAAGTAAAAAAATATATATTTATCAATTGGAACGACATAAAATTAGAAAAAAAAAATTTTAAATTATATCATTTCAGTAGGCTCTAAAAAAAAAAAACTTCAAATAACATATCTTTAGGGAAAAAATGAATATTATTTTAGGTTAAATGTCATTCTTAGTCCTTCAACTTTTTTTACACTTTTTTGGTACCTAAATTATGAAAGATGCATTTTTATTTTTTTAGTTATTTTGTCAATTAATCCATTAATTATATACAAATATGCATATTTTTAGTTCTTAAACCTATAATATATGCACATTTTAATCCAATTTAATGACTAAAAGTATACATATATGGATAAATTTAATAGATTAATTAATGGAAGACTAAAAAAATACAGTTTTCATAGTTTAGGACTAAAAAGGTGTAATAATATAATTTAAAACTAAAAATGTTCAAAATTAAAAGCTTAAGAACTAAAGCTAGCATTTAACCTTTATTTTATTCCTTTTTTCATAATACTTTATTAAACCGTCATGCCTAATCTGTTTGCAAGCTTAACCAAAAAACACTAATTAATCTCATATAAAATATAATTTCTTCTTTCATATAGTTACATATATCAAATCAATTTTAGATTAGAAACATAAAATACACATGAATAGAATATCAAATCTAAATAATATATTTGATAAAAATATAAATTATACAAAGAATTTGAAGGAGTATAAAATCATATATAAGTTATAGTAATCCAACATGAACTTGACTATTTTTGGATTTTTTTCTTATCAAGATTAAATTATTTATCTTGAGAATTGGTCACAAAGAGATAAATAGTCATTTTACCTAGGTCGTAATTTTTTTTTTTTTGAAGATTCGAAATAATTCTTATAATTCAAATATCAAAAACAATGTTTATAGTAAACAAAAATTAATGTACCTTATTAGACATTTTTCCAAAGCTCCTATGGCAGCTCCATCCCTGCATAAACACTAATCTCAATCCATTGGCAGAGCTAAGGAAGCGCCTAAGTTTTTTTGTAAACAATAATGCTAGTTATAATATCATATAGAATTGTAAATTTATAATATGAT